ATTTTCTACTCCTAGAAAGTTTTGGGCTGAAGTTATATCTACTGCTTTTTATGTTTCAAATCGTGTGTTCTTGAGATCTAAAATTGGCAAAACACCATATGAACTACGATTTTGGCGTAAACCTATTGTATCTCACCTAAGAGTTTTTGGTTGTAAATGCTTTGTGCTTAAATCTGGCAATCTAGATAAGTTTGAATCTAGATCATATGATGGCATTTTCCTTGGATATCCTACTCATTCACGTGGTTACCGTGTTTATGTTTATGAGACTAACCGAATAATGGAAACCAGTGAAGTGACTTTTGATGAGGCTAGTTCTGGCTCTAGTCCTCGCATTTCTGATGCAGGAACATATGTTCAGGGGGAGGAAATCTTTGTAGATGATGAAGATGACGAGGAGGATGGCGTGCCCCCTGCTGTCCATGCGCAAACTCCAGCTGTTCCTACACCTACAACTACTGCTGCTACAGCTGGACATCCTCAAGAGACTACTTCAACTACAAATGTTGGGGATGAGCATGCTGCTGAGTCAAATATTTCAGCACCCCGACATATTCAGAAAAGGCACCCTCCTGAGCAGATTATTGGAAGCATGGATGAGAGAGTCACACGGTCAAGGTTTATCGATTCTGACTATCATACTCATTCAGCATTTGTTGCTTCTTTTGAGCCCAAAGATATATCTCATGCATTAACTGATGAATCATGGATCAATGCCATGCATGAGGAATTAGAAAATTTTGAGCGTAACAAAGTTTGGACTCTTGTTTCACCTCCTTCTGGTCATACTCTTATTGGAACTCGTTGGGTTGTCAAAAACAAACAAAGTGAGGATGGTGTTATTGTTCGCAACAAGGCTAGGTTGGTTGCTCAGGGTTTTACTCAAGTTGAAGGTCTTGATTTTGATGAAACTTTTGCTCCTGTTGCTAGATTGGAAGCTATAAGAATTTTATTGACTTTTGCTGCATCTAAAGGTTTTAAGCTTTATCAAATGGATGTTAAAAGTGCTTTTCTTAATGGCTTTATTGATGAGGAGGTTTATGTTAAGCAACCACCTGGTTTCGAGAATCCAAAGTTTCCCAACCATGTTTATAAACTTTCAAAAGCTTTGTATGGTTTAAAACAAGCCCCACGTTCATGGTATGATAGGTTGAAAACGTTTTTAATTGGAAAGGGGTTTACCATGGGAAACGTTGATAAAACACTCTTTGTACTCAAACATGGCAACGATCAACTTTTCGTACAAGTTTATGTTGATGATATTATCTTTGGGTGTGCTTCTCATGCTTTGGTGTCAGAATTTTCAGAAACTATGAGCAGGGAATTTGAAATGAGCATGATGGGTGAACTTACTTACTTTTTGGGACTGCAAATCAAACAAACAAAGGATGGCACCTTTGTGCATCAAAGTAAGTATACGAAGGATTTTCTACGGCGCTTTGGGATGGAAAACCTCAACCCTATTATGACACCAATGGGATCTACGGCGTCACTTGATCTTGATGAGGAAGGTGAAACTGTTGACCAAAAGATGTATAGGAGTATGATTGGTTCACTTCTTTATCTCGCCGCTTCTAGACCGGATATACAATTTTCTGTATGCTTGTGTGCACGGTTTCAAGCTTCTCCACGTGCATCACATCTACAAGCTGTCAAGCGGATCTTCAGGTATCTACATGGCACCCAATCTTTTGGCATTTGGCTTTCTGCTTCCTCGAGTATTTCATTGCGTGCATTTTCGGATGCTGATTTTGGAGGTTGTAGAATTGATAGAAAGAGTACATCTGGCACATGCTTATTTTTGGGTGATTCATTAGTACTTTGGTCTTCTAAGAAACAAAGTTTTGTTGCACAATCTACTGCTGAAAGTGAATATGTAGCTGCTGCTTGTTGTTGCTCACAGATTTTATGGATAATAGCTACAATGAAAGATTATGGGGTTACTCTAGAAAGTGTACCACTTTATTGTGATAACACTAGTGCTATATGTATTGCTAAAAACCCTGTGCAACATTCTCGAACTAAGCACATAGACATAAGATATCATTTTCTTAGAGATCATGTTGAAAAAAGAAATGTTGTGCTACATTTTATAGATACTGAACGTCAATTGGCAGACATTTTCACTAAACCATTGGATTCTTCTCGGTTTGCTTTTCTTCGAGGTGAACTTGGAGTAATCAAACCATACGGGATGGTTTAGGGGGACTTGAGTTTTTTTGTAAAATATGTAAAATACTTTTTCTCTTGGGTTTCTAGTTAGAATTGGTATTTTCATCTTGCTTCTTTTTCAGTTTTTTTGATAAATTAAAAAAATGAAAAAGTAATGAGCATTGTATTTTATCCTGGAATGTCATTTTGCAATCATGTTTATGCTTTGAGGAAATTGTCATTTTACATGTATGTTCGTATAAGGTAGTTTATCACATGACTTTCTAATACGAATGATAACTTGAACTAAATCTTGTCATGGTTAAACTTTGTTAGCTGTGTTGGTCTTGGTTACTCAATTACTACCGATGATGAATCTATTAAAGTATCAAGATTAAAAATATGCTGTCAAGCAAGTTTTATAAAAGATATGCCAATGTCACACTGCATCTTCACGAGACTGCTTACCATTGCACTTTGGTATGAACTTGGAAGTTGTTGTTGTTCTTGAAACCTTTGTCTTAAGCTTCTGATTGCCTACCATTGTCTTAAGCTTCTGATTGTTATTGTACTTTAAACATAGGCTTGGCATGGTACTTTGAATATAGGCTTGGCAAGGTTGAATTGACATGGCATACAACTTCTTTGGAAATTAAGTTTCATATTTTTTATAAATGCTTTTAATATAATTTGCTCAAGTGATTGTGTATTCAAGCATTGACATAGTTGATAAAGGAAGACCATGCCTTGTAATAAATCGTAACAATACTTGATTCTTGGTCACGTGTGGATTGCATTATACTTGTATACATGTCAAGTACAAATACTTTTTGCATGACTTGGACGTAGAATTGTCATTTTCATGATGTTTTATAATGCTCATTAAAAAAATTGAAATATGACGTAATACAAAAAGATTTTCCTTTTTCTAGCTTATAGAATTTCTGTTTAGGGGGAGAGTTCGTTTTGTGGTTTTGATGAAATTCATTGTCAAAGGGGGAGAGATTTCCAACACATATTCACACCACATTTTCTTTACACAATTTTCTATTGTTTTTTTTGGATCTTTGGTTGATCTTCAGTTTTTTTTCTCTTTTGTCTTTTCAAAACTCTGAAAATCTGAAAGTTAAGTGAATGTGTATGCCAATCAATGTTTGGTGTTTATGTGATGTTGCCAATGTTTTCATCAAGGGGGAGATTGTGAAGTCATGTGTGATGTGCAACATTGGCAAGTGCTTAGTAGACATTGATTTGGATACTCTGGATGATATGGATACTTGTGCGGTTATTGGTATCTTATATTGGGCTGAATACTTTGCTAATGGTGTGATGATCCATTAGCTACTTGTGTGAAAATATGGTGTGAGCTGTGTGAAACTTACCCTGAGTCAAGTCGTGGACTTGTGCTCATACTGATTATTTGTTGAGTTCACTTTCAGGTGTTGCCAGAGCTGGACAAACGTGGTCGATGACAGGATCGAGGGACGAAGCTTAGAGAAGCTGAGGTCCGGGGGATCATGGTCATGCGGGGCGTTCGTGCGAAGGAACAATGAAAGTAGAGGATACGATGATCCGGTAGGGCACCGGTTTGTCGTACATGGCTTGTACCGGAGATGTACGATACGGTACTGAAGACGTCACGAGGTGTAAGGCGTGCACATGTGTTTGCGCGCACGGCAGCGGCAACAGGTCGATCGGGCGAGTCGAGCGGGTGCGGCCCAGTCCAGCGTGGGCGGCCCATGTGGCAGGCGTGCGGATCGATGGAAGGCGGCGTGCGCGACGGAGGCGGTCAGCCAGGCTCACGCGCAAGAGCAGACATTGCTCGTTGCATGTCTGCAGCTGAGCGTACATAGGCTAGAGGCCGGAGGAGCAGGCCCAGCGTGGCCCATGCAGCAACGAGGTGAGCGGCCAGGCTCACGCATGATTCTGCCGTCTGTTTTGTTTCAGAGATGGGCTCTATTTTTAGGGTGCTGTTTAGCTCTTTAAATAGAGGGGCGTAGGCTAGGTTTTTGGGTGCGTCTCAGGAGAGGAACTCAGATCTTTAGCCTAGATTTATTTGAGAGTTCTTGGATGCTGACACGCATTTTCTGTAACCGATCGACATCGTGGCAATAAAGTGATCTTTGGCGGTGTCATCTCTGGGCTTCTCTAATCTCGGTGAAATCTCCGTGTTAGATCTCTCTAATACTTGGCTGCAGTTTTTTTTTCACGAGATCAAGGGAAGTTTGTGGTGCGATTAATCTATCTTTCTTGCTAGTTCTCGAAATTAGATCTAGATTGATTTTCGCAGTTTTCTGTCAGCTGTTACTGTTTTGATCATAACTTTTGATTGGTAACTCCGTTTAAGCTGATTCTTGTTGTGTTGATTAGATAATTTCCGTAGCTTTAATTGGAGTACTCATACGTATTTTTTGGTTCAGCAGATCTTGATATACAACTGTTTTACCATCTCGAACAGATTAGAGTTTCAGGGTTTTAAATTTTGGAAAAGTTATAATTTGCTTCCACGCAATCATTCACCCCCCCTCTGATTGCCTATCTTGATCTCTCATTTCTTCATCTGTATATCTTTTTTGGATCACTCTGTTTCTCTCTCTTCGGTTGGTATACACTAGTTTCACATTTTCAAAACTTGCAACGTTGTGTATTTGTATTGTACCACTGACGCGTGTCCTTTGAATTTTCAGTCGAGTGTGGAAAAGTCGGACCGCAGAAACTAAAAGAAGTCATGCATGCAGATATATACAGCGGCAGGCAACTGGACCGAGAGCTTCAAAGCTACGCAGGAGTAGCAGAGTGCGGTAGCAAGCCTTCTCTCAAAAAGAGGTAGGAGAGCATTTTCGCCGGCCATGGTGACCAGCGGCAGTGGGCAGTTCAAGAGTGCAGGCCCCGTGTGGAGCCCGAAGAAGTACATCCTGGCGGCCACCACCGTGACCCTCGCCGTGAGCGCCGTGGCCGTGCTGACCACCGTGGTCCTCAGCCCCGCGCGCATCGCCTTCTCCGTCACCGGCGCCTCCAGCAGCAGTGTCGAGGGAGCGTCGTTGGTGGCGCTGAACTTCACCCTCGACGCGGCCAACCCGAGCCGCCGCGCCGGGGTGGAGTACAGCTCCGTCACGGCCAGGCTTCAGCTCTACAGCGCGAGCCACGCGGCGGCCGCGTGGCTGAAGACGGAGGTCCACCAGGCCATGCCGCTCCAGCAGCCGCCGGCGAGCTCGCGCAGCCTCCGCGCGTCGGTCCTCTTCGACTGCAAGGAATTGGGGTGCTGCGGGCGCGCGCCTCCGATGACCGTGCTGGTGCTCGCCCAGGTCCGGTTCAAGGTCGGGCTGGCCTACTCCCGCCAGTACGACGTCCAGGTCTCCTGCCAGCCCGTCGACTTCTTCGCCGCCACCGCCGCCGCCGCCGCTACAAGAGTTGTATGCGTTGCCTGACCTCGTCGCCACCGCCACTGCATGTGATATGTCGATCTAGATTAGTAGTAGTAGTAGTATATATGTATGATGTATCCCCAAATCGATTATATGATGATTTTCTGTGGCAATTCTTTTGGTTCTTCTGATCCGGCCGGCAGGATTTCGAAAATTACAGGATCAAGCTATCTTCGACAAAGAAACCAGGGAAAGTGGCTCTGCAAGTAGACCGGTCAGCGCGCAACAATGAGCACGACAGTTACACATAATGAGAATTAGAGGCCTACGATGAGTACATTCAGTCTGGTAGGCTGTCACCTCACCACATCGCCGTCAGGGTCTGTTTGGTTCTGATCCTGGAACATGTACCATTCTAGTGGTTGCCAGGCACATGATTAGGGTAATTTGCTGGTCATTGCGGAAAGTTGCCGGCGAATCACACAGAGCAAGGGAGTGAGACTTTAGCTGGGCCGACCCGTTGTAGCTAGGTTCTGTTTCGGCGTCTTTGCCGAATGTATTGCGCCAGGGACCCGGCAAACAGGTCTTGCCGAGTGTCATTGAAAAAATACTCGTCAAACAAGCGAAACTCGGTAAACATGTGCTTTGCCGAGTGTCATGGACAAAGCACTCAGCAAAACAGTGGAACACAAAAAAAAAAATCTTTCCCGAGTGCTACACTCAGCAAAAGGGTATCTTTCCCAAGTGCTACACTCGGCAAAAGAGGGTGTTCACTGCGCTGCACTGTCTTGGCTGTCGAAATTGCATACATTTTACATTTTCACGAGATAAAGTTGATCCAAAAATTAAAGTTTATGACATTTGGATAAAGTTTTTGATATTTTACATTTTACATTTTACATTTTCACAAGATAAAGTTTATGATAAAGTTGATCCAAAAATTAAAGTTTTTCATTTTCACGAGATAAATAATTTTCATGTTGAGATCTTTGACAATTTAGGCCATATTAATTACACTTTCTGCCATGCCAAAATATGGTCTCAAATGACGAAGGGAGTGATCATATTTATTGCATAGTTTATGACAATGTGCCTAAACTGGGCACTTAGGTTCCAACCTTTTTGTACAAAAAATAATTTCCATTTTCTAAGTGTAAAAAATCAATATGTTTGTGAAGCGGGTACAAAAATAGGGTGCAAAATGGCACCACTCCGATATTCACATAAAGTAGACCATTTTTTGTCAAATCCCCAAGTTTTGTAGATTTTCTACATTCCTAGCGATTTTTGCACATTTAAATGACTTTATATTGATTTCATGAAAGTAATTAAAATTTTAACTGCAAGTGTGTGATAGCTCTATCCTAAGAATTAGCAAAAAATATTTTTGTGTAAACAAATAGTCATTATATGGAAGAACCCTTAGAGTTTTTAGAGATTCAACCCCTTGCCATGAATAGCCATGCTGCCATTTTGACTCCGCTTTGGAAACAAATAAAAGTAAAAAAGACTACAAGTTCAAAAAAAATGCAATCCTTTCGCATGGAGTCATGTTATGTGACCTAGTTACGAGAGAAAAAATACCAATGTTTTAATATGAATGTTTTTTTAAATAAATTCCTTCACAAGACAGGCTATCATGTGAGAACATTCATGGCTTTCAAGTCAAAAGACCAAGGTGATGATCATATTCAGTGCATAGTTTATGATAATGTGCCCAAATTACACACAAAGGTGCATCTTGCACTTAGAAACAATGTTGCCAAATGGAGTTTTCAACTTTTTTGTATGAAAACCCCATTTTTCATTTTATTAGTGTAAAAAATGGGTATTTTTTGTGAAGCAAGTACAAAAAACAAGGTGCAAAATGGCACCACTCCAATTTTCTCAGTAAGTAAACCATATTCTATGCACAATTCCCGAGTTTCATGGATTATCTAGATTTATAGCTACTTTCTCACATTTAAATTATTTTATGAAAATTTCTTGAAAGTAATTCAAATTTGAACTCCAAATGTCTTATAGCTCTATCGTAAAAATTAGCAAAAAATATTTTTAGGTACACTAGTAGTCATTATATAGAAGAACCATTTACATTTTTTTAGAAATTCAAGCCCTTGCCATAAATAGCCATGCTGGCCATCTTGACCCTGTTTTAAAAAAGAAATAAAAACAATACAAGCTCAAAAGATGTAATCCTTTTGCATGGAGTCCTTTTGTGTGTACTAGTTGCAAGGAAAAATATCAAACTTCCAAAATGATAAATTTGAAGAAGAAAAATCCTTCAGAAGGGCTATCATGTATGAACACTCTTGGATTTCAAGTCAAATGACCAAGGTAATGGTCATATCTAGCGCATAGTTTATGATAATGTGCCCAAGTTGGACACAAAGGTGCATCTTGCACTTACATACAATGTTGCCAAATAGAGTTTCAAGTGTTTTATAAAAAAATCGTTTTCATTTTCGAAGTGTCAAAATTGACAATTTTGTGTGAAGCAAGTACAAAAAACAGGGTGCAAAATGGTCATGGAGGCAGCAAGGTTGATGAAAAAGCCTTCGGCGGTATATTCGCCATCCGTGGAGTGCCGAAACAGGCCTCCAGATTGGATCTTCTCATAACAGTAATTTGCAGCAGTGGAAAAAATCGTAGAAAATTGGTACCGAGGGTTTAGGAAATTCTGGAATTTATAGGCAGAAGAATGGCGGTAAGGTGGTGCTTGTCGGCCCTAAGTGGCCATGGGGTGCGCTCTAAGCCCTGGGCTGGCGCACCACGAGGGCGTGTTGGGGACCCACATGATCCTCTCGCTTCCCTCCAGTGCTTTCTGGAACATTTGTTGCCTGAAAATATCACCTTAATTTTTCAGGATATTTTGGCCTCAATAGATATTGATTTTCTAAAAAGTCAAAAATATGCGGAAGACATCAACTACCGCTAGGCACTAAATTAATAGGTTAATCCAAAAAATAATATAAAATACTATAAAAAAGTATGCAAAAGTTATAATATAATAGCATGAAACAGTAAACAAAATACGTTTGAGATGTATCAGACGTTTCTATGGTATAATTGAATTTGGGGACGAAGAGAGGTGTACATGGCCACTTGGGCCGAGCTGCTCGCAGGCTAAGCCGGATCGTCTGGGCAGCTACCCGGACTACTCGGGCATTGGCCACATGATCTGGGTAGGTATCTGGATGGTCCGTCTGATTCGTGATGTATGGGGATGTCAGGACGTCCAGAGAAGTGGTCGTTTTGTTCGGCTGATGGACGGATGATTCGGGCTGGAGTCCGGATTGGCCGACTTTGGTGATGAAGTTCCTAGTGTCCTAGCCGGACATCCGGGTTGGAGTCCGGAGGGTCCGAGCATGGCCCGGATGCGTTGCCAGGATGCTCGTCCAGGGGTGCGTTTCGTCGGCTTGATGGGTGCTACATGAGCTGTGTTGGGATTTCCTTGAACTTAAAATTTGATGTGCCCCCCGTGCGGAATCCAGTAAATCTATGGATCGCAACGCAAATCGGGCGGCGGGGCAAGTTTCAACTACTAAAACTTGATGAGAAAGATGAAATTTTTAGTAAGTTTCAAAAACTAAAGCTTAAACCCTAAACCTTAACCTAAACTATAAACACTATTACACTAAGCCCTAAAGCCCAAAGCCCTCAAACCCTAAAAGTATACGAAGACGGTGTCTTTGCATTAACCTGGCAAACCGGCCAACCAACAAGTACCATCGACCTACCTACCAACTTGACGTCGCAGTAAAACGAAGGCAACCATACCTCATCCCAAAATAAGTCTCTCAAGTTTGTACTAACATTAATATAAAATTGTATTAACCTTCAGACACTTAAATTGTTGGTCTCGTTGGTTAAATTTATGGTCAAAGTTGAACCTCGAAAAGCGCGAATGCATTATATTTTAGAATGGAGGAAGTATTAAGTTTGAGACACTTATTTTAGGACCGAGGGAGTAGTAACCAGTCCCGCGTCACCAGAGGGACATACAGGGCTACAGGCGTGCAAGTGGAGATCGCCTTCACACCCTACGTGCTCGGCCAGCATTGCGTCCTTGTTCCTCGACATGCCAACAGAGCTGTAGTAAATGACACCGCAAGACTCGACGAGCAGGTCAATATATATCCATATAAAGAAAGCCGCAGGCCCAGGCCAGCTGCCCTAGCAAGCGCTCGTCGCGGGTCGACGTGACCACACATGCTTTGCATTGCATTGCATGCTCAATCAATTCTGCTGGTTCCACATGACCCTACATGCAATCGATTCTGCATCGCATTCAATCGGCATAGGACAAGTGGAGCCGTGACCATGCTTGCAGGAACAACAATACCACGGCATCTTCTTCTTTAAATGGTAGTAATACGTATAAACAACTAAACAGTACAGCATAGTTGATGAGGCCACTTGGCGAGAGGCAGGTCTGGTGCCTGTGCCTCCAATGGCAGGCAAGTGGGGCTGTCTCCATTGCCAGGCATGTGAGCTTCCATTACTCCATAGCTACCGAGCTGGGCGGAGCTCTTAATTTTCTGAGAAGACAAGTCCCGGCCGCTTCTACCATCAGCCCTATAGCCCTAGCCTGTGTGTAGCAGCCGAGCCACGTACTCTAGCCAGCTTAGCGTGTGAGGCGTGCAGCTCGCCTTGCTGCACTGCACTGCACTCATACACAATTGATTCAACGAAATATACGGCACGTACTCTCTACAATTAACTCATATTGGCAGCCAGCCGTACATGCGTGGATCGTCATCCATGTAGCCGGCCGGCCTCCAACCAATTCAACAATGGTCTCAACGGGCTCTCATGGTCTCGACTCTCAACGCATGAGGTGTCGCTCACAACTAATGGACGGAGATGGTTTTTAATCATATCTAAATAATCTTTTGAACAACCCATGTTATTAGCACTTTGTCAAAAGATAAATGAGTACTGTTTCGGCACACTTAAATTTTTTCCAGATTTTTTTAGAATTTAGAAATGTGTTTTTCAAAGTGGGTTCATATGTATCCAGGTTCATCCATGCACTTCTCCACACTCACGCTCTTTCTTGA